TCACACTCCTTCCTTCCCTCCTTCTTTCCCACTTTCCCTCCGTTCTCCCTCCCTCCTCCTTTCCTTTCCTCTCACTTCTTCCTTCCTTCCCAATTTTCCTTCCTCTCTCCTCCTCCCCCTTTCCTTTTCTTTCTTTCCTTTCCTTCACTGTCCTTCCTTCCCACTTTTCCTCCCTTCTCCCTCCCCCTGTCCTCTCCTCTCACTCCTTCCTTCCTTCCCACCTTCCCAAATTTCCTCCTCTCTCCCTGCCCCTTTCCTTCTTTCCTTTCTTTATTACCTTTCTTTCACACTTCTTCCTTCACACTTTTCCTCCTTTCCTCCCCCTTTCCTTTTCCTTCCTTCTGTCCATCCTTTTCTTTCTTTTTCTTTCTTTCCTTCTTTCTTTCTTTTTCCTTTTCCCCTTTTCTCTTTTGACCCAGCACCATGTCGATGCCCACCACAACTTTAGCAAGCGAAATCTATCAACTGTAAAAACAATTTATTACTCTGCACTGTGAGCTAAGATTTAAGTTAAGATCTCTGGTTCCTGATACATAGAAAGGAGCAAAAGCAATGAACAGATTTCCCAGGTGTGCAGCCATCGGGCAGAGAACACCAGACAAGCCCTTATTCCTACCATCGTAGAATTCCCAACCACCTAAACCGTCTTACCTGGCCTTCGACTTATAAGCGATTCTGGAAACAGAACCAGCCAACTGAAAACAGAGAATTAAAGTCGTACCTCCGAGTTGGAAGGCAACAATGAGAATGTTTTCCCTTCGGGCACTTGGGTGTAGATGAAAATAGAGTTTAAAATCTGCCAAAAAGATGATTTGTTAAGCCGTGCTGCCTGATGCATTTGTAGTTGCAACGGAACCTGACGTTTGCCAAAAAACCCCCACAAAAATAACACAACCTCCTTGAGAGGCGAAATCCATCAAGGCATGTACTTCGCTCTCAGACAAACAGCACCAATCCGTTTCTTGAACGGCAAAGGATATTGTGATAAAACCACATCGATATGTCTCCGCCAATGTGCCGCTGTTGATATTTCTCTCTCCGGGCACAATGAGAATATATCAGCTGAACAAAACTCCGCACTGGCAACAGGAAAGCATCCGGCCATTCAAACACTCTGCTAGTTGCATTCAGTTGCCCAGATTCTGCCCCACAATGGATTATGGGGTCGTTAAAACAATGATGAATGTGCTGCTGTTACGGAAGGAGGACACCAAATGTGGGAAGCTACCACCATAGGTGGCCTTCTTAGCTCCGTAGTGGCCTACAACGCTGTGTATCTCCAACTCTCCTTCGTTTTATTAGCTGCTGCATATTTGAGAGCGGTATGTTACATCTTACACTGAGGTTGTGGAAGAAGCCATGAAGGGGGAGATGTGGAACATTTTAGCAGTATCCCCATGTTTATTGCAATGATCACAATGCATCTTTTATTAAGGTTTTATTTTATTATATAAAGCACAAAGATGAAAAGAAAAAAAATAAGAAATTAAGGGAAGGAAGGGGAGCAGGGAAAGGGTTGAGAAAAAGAAGGAAAAGAGGACATTGACTCCCAAATCTTCTTAGCACCGTACAAGACAAACGCACTTCCAACCGCAAATTTTTGCTTTTACACATTAACATAAAGATCACGGATTCACGGTGCATCTTTATTATCTGGATTAATACACATGTCTCTGTGTTTGTGGGTAGGTGTAGCTGCGTGTGTGCTATTTTGGGCCCCATTATAACTTTCCTCCTCAAGAAACACTGAACAAATCCATTTATTTACAGTATTAAGGGGAAATAATAAATTATGACTGTACATTATACATTAAATGTCTTTATTTAATAAAAAAATGATTTGTGTCATAATGTACGCCTTTCCTTTTTCTTCCTTCTATCTTTCCCTTTCCATTACTCTCCTTCCTTCCTTCCTTCCTTCCCTCCCTTCTCTTCCTCCTTTCTTTCCTTATCTTCCTTCCTTCTCTTANTCCTCATGAGAAGTAGTTGTCTGGAGCACATGTGAGCAATTTCCCACTCTCTCCTTATCTGTGCAGGTTCTGAAGAACTGGTTGACTCACTTGTAAGTCTTTGCTATGCTTTCATGGACATACAGTAGAACCTCTGGTCACAACCATAATTCATTCCATAAGTTTGGTGGCAAACCAATTTGGCATGACTTGAACCTAATTTTGGAAATTTGGCGCTTACAAAAAAAATGGCATGTAATTTTTTTGGTCGGAACCCGATTTGGTCGTGGTCAGAAGCGTTCGTGACCAGAGGTTCTACTGTATATTCTGTTTGTCATGATTCCATCAGATGTCTTTTACTATAGCCATTCTTATCGGAGTAGCTTTAGACTCACACATTGTCTTTTACTTAATCTAATCTACTTTACAAGATTGAGACTGTGTGAATATTCTATGTCTCATGATGGGAGCATCTTTAGAGAGTCACAATCTGAGCTCCAATTGACACTGTCCAGCTGGTAATGAAACTTTGGTGCCTAAGAACAGAATTTGTCTACTGAGCTATTTTCCTCCTGCTGTCCTTTTTTCCCATAAGGGAAATGATGACCTAATGTTAGCAACAAAACCTGAAATTACTACCAGAGCTTGATTCTTATGTTTTCTATGTGACTTGCCAACCAGCCTCCTTCAGATCCTTGCTCACATCCTGTCCTAGGACAGACTGAGCCTTCAGGCTGCTTCTCCTCTGTTAGGTTTGTGTGTCATTGCTTTCTAATTTCAGGCGGTTCCCCATGAGGTCTATATTTATGTTCTGATGTAATTTTTCTGTCAATCCTATTCAGTTCGCCAAGAGGCTATTGACATATTGCAGAAAGTAACAACTTATTAAGTTGTCATCTATACTTACACTTGGCCTAATCATTCATCTCAGCACTGAGCTAAATATACTTCACCCCTTGATCATCATCAACGTAATATAGCAGGGGTGGAATCTCTTATGGAACTTAAAGAAAACGTTCCCCGCTCCCATTTTCATCATGCAGATTTCAATCTTGTGCCTGTTAAATGATAACTGGGAGCACACATATACAAGCAGCATTTTTTTTCCAAGTCTATACTGGCACAGCCTTTGCCACTGGAGTATTTACAATGTGATAAGCAATTCTGTGTTTAATTTCATTAAGCAACCACTGAAGAGTCCTTGTTAGCTCTGAGCATTCCTGTGGAGCCAGAATTAATGATGCTTTTAATAGTTGTGTAATCTCTTCTGCCCAGTTGAGCAGCGACCTTCATTCTTCTTTACGGGGAGTATAGGAGGCTGTTTCTTACCAGGTTAGTCTATTGGTCCATCTTGCTGACTATTACCTGCTCAGGTTGGCAGTGGCTTGCTCAGGTGCCAGCCAGAAATCTTTCCTGTCATCTGACCCACTCGACAGGAGGGGCCCGGAAGTGTGAGTTGCATACATGGGTTCCCCCTCTGGGCCACACTCTATTAACCAGGCAGAGATAATCAGGGGAGTGTATTTATCAATGTAAATTATGCATGGGAGAATGCAGCAGCATAGATAAAGATTACCAAAGTGACATGTATTGGGTAATACTGAACCACCTTGGAAAGTTTTAACCTGGGAAAATATAGTGGATATTAGAACAGCCTATGCATCTTGAGGTTGGAAGCTATGTCAGAACTTGGGACATGGGGAGTTCTTAATTAATTCAAGGAATACGAGAGCAAATCCCCTTATTTAATCAAATCATACTAAGTAGCCTTAAAAAAAGATTATTGTATAAAGAAAAATTCAACACCTGCTTTGTTTCTCCTCAAGATTGTATCTACTTTCTTTCTCAAAGCAATGTAAAGCTGAATTCCACCCAAGGTAGAATAGTAGGACTAGGAGTTGCTGAGAAGTATCACTTGCATCAAATAGAGATGTTAATCAGAGGTGGGTTTCACATAATTTTACCACTGGTTCTCTGTGCACCGAAACTATGAGTGCGAGCGCATGCACGCTTGCTTCATGAGTGCCACACATGTGCATGGCCTTCTGTGCATAAACTTTGCTCACGCGTGCAGCTTGCACATATGCGCCTGGCTTAGAAAATGTGGCTTAATAGGATGGCATAGATCCAGGCTGGGGGTGGGGTGTGGGGGAAGGCCCACTTGCAGGTTGCCACTACTGGTTCGCCCGAACCAGTCCGAACCGGCTGAATACCACCACTGGTATTAATTCTTAGTAGGTGCAAAGGGAGCCACTTTGGGGTAGTGGTTAAAGTGCTGAAGTAGAAATGGCAGAGTCAAGTTTTAGTCTTTCTTTAGGCAGGGTATCCTTATAAAAGTCCTTCCTTCTCAGCCCAAATCACAGTGAGATTCTGGAACAAGCTGGCTGAAAAACAAAAAAAACCCACAGTGCATCATATGCTTCACTGTAAGAACTAGGTGAGCACAGGGCAAAAGCCAAGTGGATCCCGAAGCTATGTTGGACACCTGTATGAACACCCACAATTCTTCACAGTTGCAGAAAGCCACACTCTCCAAGATTCCTTGAAAGGAAATCATGAGGATTTAAAACAGGTGTATGTAACTAGAACAGACACTGACTTTTGACTTGCTAATATTCTAGGAGGCAGGTTGATGTTTATTCAGTGAAAGAATAAATAAGTAATATAAATAAGAGATCGTCCTGATGACATGAACTCTTTCATCAGCTTCTGGACTCAATACCTGCCAAAGGCCTTGCATGAAGAAGATGATGTAAGATTTACAAAAAGTTGTTGCACTGAAGTTGCAATGGTTTTGCTGTGACTATGCTTCCTTTCTTTTATCTGCAAATAAGTAAAGATAGTTTGAATTTCCAGGGTTCTCTCATCCAAAGGAAAACATACACTTTGGCCTACAGCAGTGGTGGGTTGCAGGTGGTACGCCCCGGTACGGGCGTAACAGAGCCTGCCCGGATCACTGGGTACCATTCCGGTACTGTGCTCCGGAGGGCCTACCCGTCCACCTGAGCTCCTTACCTGTCCTCTAAAGCCTTCAGCACTTCCGCGCACGTGCATGGCGCATACAGCCCTGTGCAACGTTCCGCTGAGCAGCTGGAGGGCCGCGGAGGCCTGCGGAAGCATTTCTGGCAGCTACAACACATGTATGAGCCGCGTGCGTGTGCGTGCACACTGCGCGTGTCCATGTGGGCAACACCGGGCCCGATCTGGTGGAACGAGATCCAGAATCCACCACTGGCATACAGCCTGGAATCCTAAGGGAAATAAAGCAGGTAATGTATATCCGAGTCTTCCTTTCGAAAACGCCAGTAACTTCTCTGGAGATCTCAGAGATCTGGTATCTACAATAATCTTGATTGTACTCAATCCCATTTAGTGTTCACACAGCTGTAGCATGGCCGGTCCCAGGTTCTCACTGAGATCATTTGTATAAAACAATTTAAAATGGATTTGAGATTGTAAATAAGATATCGGTGGGAGGAATATATATTACAGCAGGTCACTGAGTTGCTTAGCCTTGA